GCAATCAATACTTAAGGTAGGTTCTATACATCTAGCAAGAAGATGCGGTATAATGATATTCACATAACGCGAAATATCAGTGTGACTTAAAGACAATTTCTTTAGAAATATAGTATGAAGTGCCTGTAGAATTGCTTCAGTATAGTCGCAATTCGTACTAGATAAAGCTGAATACCAAAAATGCATTAAACAAAAAATGATGGTTTGTACATAGTAATGTGGAGCGCAATCCACTTACGTGAAAGGACATTGTTCAATTTTGCAAGGATTTCAGGTACTAAAGCCTCAAATAATATTGGTTCGGCCGATATTTTGGAGATAGAGTCTAAAATTTTATTATAGTTTGTGTAAGACCCCTTGTTTATAACATCACCAATGTTTGGAAGTTTAGACACAAATATGGGAAGCGTGACATCTAATACAATTTTCGGTTTGTAATGTGCGATATTTCCCAAATATTCTAAAGCTGGCGATCTATGAAATTTACAAATTGTTAGTTAAGCCTATCACATAATCCTAATAGCTATCATTAGGTAAAGACATACACAATGTCCTGATCTTGCTCGTCAAGAATGATTTTATTAAAATATTGTAGAATTAATCCTATTTCATTATCAGAAAGAAAGTTATTCAATAAAATCATATCATGCAATCCTCGCAGACCACATAGTCGTAGCTCATTATATTCATTGATTCCTAAAAGTGCTGAACTGAAAACGTCCAACATATCATCTTTATACGGCGCCAATGGCATTACAAAATTTTGGTCTATATGCATAAAATTAATTATTAATCTGTCTTAACACAATATTTGAAAAATAAAAATATGGACATGGATTTACATTTAAAACCTTTGATATTTGGAGCATTTTCAATAGAACCGTAAAGATATCGAACAGCAGCAATAAATTCTACCAATATTTCAAGGATACCCTTCTTTCGAGTAGCCAAATCGCTAGTTCTATATTGGATTATGAAATTCTTTAATGTCGCAGAGATAATGATATTACACGCCGGATCTATGAAAATTTAAAGATTAAGCACTTCAGATTATTAAGCATATTATTTCCAGACGGTTAGTAAACATATTTACCAGATGTCATTGCACAGTATTTTAATATCTTTCCGCAAGGCTTTGCTAATTTTAATTCAGAGTTTTTAAGGTTTTCTAAACATTCAGTGATAACATTCTTTAGAAATTGTTGCAGGTGGTCTAGATTTTCTATTTCATCTGTTGATAAAGTCTCGGCAATGCTTTGGATAGCTTCAAGAGCAATAAGTTCAAATGAATCATTTGTAGCGTTTATTATCTAATACAAGTTTTGAATTAATGATATAATCGGGTATATCTTTCTTACAATAACCTCCAACTTTAAAGCCCAAAAATTTTAAATAACTCACTTCATCTTTTAAATAATCCCACAAATTTTCAAGATGAGGAACAATGGCACTTAATCCATACACTGGGGCACATGCTTTTAATGCCACCATGGAATCTTTCTGTATAATAAGATAAAGATATCTTTATATATGAATAAGCATGTCTATCTAATGGAATTATATAAGGAATAAAATTAATGTAGTAGCTAAGGCCGAGAATACTGAAGCTGGAGTGTTGAAGCTCTATTTCAATCTATTAAACCTACTAAAATTCATTTATACTTTTATTAATAACTAACCACAGCTTCAGTTGATCTCAGTTTCAGCTGCCACAGTTAATATCAAATATTCACCTTAGCATTACTAGAATCAGAAGCTAATTTTTCAACCAGCAATGGCATCGCAAATTTAGCAAAAAGTGGTGGTCCATGTAATAAGTAAAATTGCCATTTTGCTACAATATAGATTTTTGAGCTGAGCGATTTTTGGCAGAACGAGTGTTTGTCCCCAAAGGTGCTGTCACGTGATTTCCCGGAATCTAGCCAATTATATAACAATATTATTTATATTATTACGTAAGTAAATATAACATTGAATTATGAATCGCCTTACCATTGTATTAATGTCTGACATTTGTGCTAGTGACAATAATAAGGGTATTAATGAGGAAATATGTTCAGATATTATATGTGGTACATCAAACGAAATAATATAAAATGTGTCAATGGTCGATGCTCTCAAATTGGAATCGGCCAATGATAGAGAGTGTATGAGCAAAGGAAATAACTGTTAATATTAAAAAGAATGTTACTAATGCTATCGGTTCTCGGATGTGAACGTAATAAAGTATAGCGTACCGAAGGAAGGTCACCAATTAAAACTTGTTTTGGAACGTTTCGTAATAAATATGATAAGGCCATCAAGTAATTCTGTTTTGTGTCTAAATAACATAAAAATTTTTAGGAAATGAAAAAAAATTTAATGGCATCAAAATTTACAAATACAGTCGTCCTCCCATGCAATCACACAGTTGGGCATATAGTAAATGTTTTTCAAAATGTGCTTATAAAGAAGTTGTGCTTATATGTAAGTTTTTTTTTCTTCTAAATAGTTTGGCCTAAAACATAAATGTGATTATATATTATGTGATTATA